AACTAATAGTTAATTCTAAATTAACTAATTAGTCAATATTTTTTCTAACTATTAGTTAGGAAATTAACTATTAACTATTAGTCAGGAATTTGCCTTACCCGATCTATTGGGTTTGGCACCTTGACTGGTTGCACACAAAGCTTATCACTGGGCTGACCCAAAGCACGCTCGCCGCTCATGCTGCCCCCTGCATATGAGGCGGCATCGCTGCTCTCGGAGTCCGAATCCAAAACTGTTGCGTTGGACACCGGTGTGCTTCCGGCGCACGCAGGCTGCAAAACTGGGGCAACTGCCCCTGCGGCTGACACACTACTGCGACACTCACACGCTGCTTGCTCATGTAACGCCCAAAACTGAGAGCCTCCGAAGGCACATTCACTTGCGCCTCCGTCATTGGCACTTGCATGGCTGCTGGCAAGCTTGTCCGATCACTGCCATTTGTGATCCTTCAAGGCGTGAGCCCCGAAGCACTTGGCACACACATGGGCTCGCTCACACTTCTGATTTTTGCACTTGCCGAGGCTGAACCCGAAGCACACTTCCTCACCGTCCGGCGTCTTGCCACTGGCACCTGCTGCGAGAAACTCCTTGGGAAGTCTGGCCTCCTTGCCCCCATTGCCTTTGCCACCTCTTTGATCCTTGCCCTGGCCGTCACGCGTCTTGCCGCCCCCCTCCTGGCGCCTTCCATCTCCTTTGAAGCGCTTGCTGTCGCTAGTAGCAAAGCCCGCTCCTTTTCCTGGCCTCTTCAGGGCTTCTTTCGCTTGCCGAGGAAAGAGGCTGAAGGAGACCTCGTAGGACTCTAACGCCTTGTCCAGCTCGACGTCCAGCGGGAAAGTGCCGTCAGGCGACTTCTTGGGGCTTACACTGCGCTGGATTAAGCGGATCCAGCACTGCTTGTCCGCTTCGGCTAGTTGAGAGACCGAACAACGAGCCATTTGAGGCGGCGGGTCTCGGGCTAGGTGCGCGAACAACTTGCCTACATAACGGTCGTAGGCAGGCCAACTGCACGATTGGGCGAAGACCAGAGCCAGCCCACGCCGCCGCAAGGCCTCCTGCAGCTGCAACGCACTGGGGGCTGGTTGCTCCAGGCTGGACTGTTCATCTTTCACAACGAGCTTTGCTGCCTCCAATTCCACTATCTTGCCAGGATTCTTACCGTTCAAGACTTCGTGAAGACGAGAGACGCATTTCTCTGGTGGAATGTACTGCAATTGGTTTTCCTTCTCCATCTTAGCCGCAAGATCCAAGAGCGCATGTCCTGGCTCCAATGATTCGCCGATGTGCAGCCCGACAAGTCTCGATCTGAGCATCTCCATGCGTCGCACTCTCTCCGCCGCCGGGACGGGCTTGGCTGTTTGGCTTTCAGGGTTGGTTACTTGCTCTTTGAGGTCTGCAAGGATTAGTGTCTGGCCCTCAAAGACCAAGCGTTTGAGAGCAGAGTGCTCTCCCACAGTTGCATGTCCAAAGTTGGACTGAAGCCACGCAGCCATGGTTGCCTCCGGCAGAGGCTGCCCTGGCTGGCCGACTGCATATCCGATGCGAGCCAAGGACGTGAGGTCCAGGCGGTCCAGCGTGTTCGCAGTCGTGGGCGTCAAGCCAACCTCCAAACAGCGCTGCTTGAAATGATGCTCGCTCTCAATCAGGCTTGACATGGCAGACAGGCACGGATCGTTCGGACAAAAAGCAAGATCGAGTGATCTTGATGTCTTATGCGTGAAGCTGCACCTTCCTAGTCTTGCATGTTGACATATCATGCTTAGCTGCTCACTAGCTTCTCCTGAGCCTCTGCGCGGGGGTATGTAAGTCAGGCACGTTCTGACGAACTCTCGTCGGCTCAGTGAACGAGCTATCACGAGGACTCGTGACGGCACTCGGCGCCACAGTTATGATGCCTCAGGGAATTCTGGCAACATTGGGGCTCTTTGGGGCTCTATTTGCTGAGCTTCATGATGACTTTACGCAGAAGCCGCATAATAGTTCCTTTTTGGGATTACCTTATAGTATTATAGGCATTCTATATATGAGCCCTAAAAGCGAACTACTTTGGGGCCTTTGGGTAGGGGGCTCAGACTTCACGTTTAGGACTCAACGTTTGGGGAGGAGCTCGGGGTGCGCCAAGTGCTGCGAGCGAGAGTCTTCATCCTCCGCTCTGAAGCGACGCCCTGAACCCTAAATCCAAAACCCAAGAACTCTGAACCTAAAGCCCATAGGCCCATAGGGGTTTAGGGTTTAGGGTGGAAGAACCCTGAACATCTGTAAAGGGGAATAATATTTATCGGGCTTCGTTAAACTAAACCCGAACGAAGGAGCCGGCAAGAAGCTTCCACACAGCCTGCGGACGCGGCGCGCTGCGCAGCATTGGCGCCCGAGAAGCAGACGTTGAAGCCCTGCTCGCGCCTGGCGATTCAAGCACTCCAACAGCCCATATAAACGACAAGGGATCCCTATCCGCTTTCTGGACTAATCTGTACGTAAGATCATACTTGGAGCCCTGGAAAAATCACAGGTACGACTGTGCAAGCGTATGAATCCCTGACTCTTGACTTCCAAGCGCTTCCAGTTGACCCCTGGCCTTCTCTCTCTCTCTCTCTCTCTCTCTCGCTCTCCCTCCAATCTCCCTGCGATATTCTTCCAGGAACATCGGAGCAGCCTGAAAAGCTGATGCAAACCCAACATCCGCAACCCTCTTGCCTCAACTTCTCCTGTGTAGTCTCATCCTGCTGCGTCTGCCGCTGCACCTGGTTTCGCTCCTGCCACAAGCCGTGGGGGCAGTTGTCAAAATTATGGCCTCCTTCTTGGGTACCCTAAAAATTAGGAACCGTATTGCATTAAGGACCCAAAAGGGGCCATACGTTTGACAACCACCCATGTTGGAGAAGACACCGAGGTCAGAGAGAAAGATCGCAAGACAATCGGGGGCGAACACAAAACAACGGTCACTCGTGGAGAAATGGCTGATGTTCATGCCAAGCTCTCTGTCCGTTACAATCTAATTAGTAGGATCATGAAGAATCCCTTTTCATGGAATCATGTTCTTACCAAGGGAACAGCGATGTTTTGATCATGGGTCGACGGTATGTTGCACAGTGCAGCACAGAAGGAGCCCTAAACCCTAAACCCTAAACCCTTAAACCGTGCTTGTCCTGCAGGCGCTGCAGGTATGCGCGGTGTTTCTCTTCAGGATTGTAGGCCGAGATACTTCCTGAGACAGGTGTGCAATTACAAGGCTGCTGCCTTGCGGGGCAACCCTAAACCCTAAAGGGTGTCGGGAGAACTTGAAGCAGTCTATAGATTTGGGGGTCACTCGGCACGGCCTCTCGGCCAGGATCAGGGCAGTCATGGCAAAAACTCCCCAGCAGTAGTTTTTGCGTGGGGATACTTTGTAAAACTCACACTTCAATGTTGCTTCGGCAGCACCCGAAACGCGACATTCCTAGCGCTGAACCCCCCGAACAAGTTGAAGCTGTTGGTTTAGGGTTTTGGGTTTAAGGGTTCAGGGATTGAGCGTTTAGGTTTGAGGGTTTTGCAGCAACCCTACATTAGAGAACGCCTCATACAAATTACCCCCAAAGCACGCTCCACAGTACACCCCATAACAAGCTCCACAGTATCCTGCATGCTAGCCCTTGCAGAAACCCCAATGCAAGCCGTACATTAACCTTTACGGAAGCCTTGCAGTAGCCCATGTAAAAGCCCATAATTGCCGAGTTCATTAGCTCAGAAAAGTTTAAACTTTCAGTCTTAAGAGGGTTTCATTATCCCAAAAAAATTAAATTTCATAACTCAGCTACGGTTTATAGGCCATTCAGTTTGCAGACGCGAGTCGGCCATCAGCAAGTGACTTCGGAGCGGAGACTTGGCCGAAAGTCGGCATGAGGCTGAAACGGCAGGCAGGACCGATGGGCTCAAGAAAAGGTGGAAGTATAGGGGCCTGAATAATTACACTAGGTATTGGGGGCCCACTATACTATACTAATCATAAGGACCCTCAAAGCAGTATTGGTAATTATTGAGGCCCCGATACTAGTTGTTCCCTTGCGGGTCTAGACGACGGGCTTTTAGGGCTCAGGGGTTCAGTGATTCAAGGTTCGCGTTTTGGGGGCTTGTGGGTTTGGGATGTTGTAAGCCGTTCGGGCGGTGGGGTGGTGCTGTAGAGAGCTTTCTGGCCTTTGGGTTGAAGGCTTAAGGCTTGTGATCCGGAGTTCTCCAACAGTTGCGTAGCTAATCCTACTTGTCGGGTATCATGGGGAACTAAAGGCTAACCGTTTTGGCTATATAGGGATTATATGGGGACTATACTACCCAAAAAAGGTTAAAGTTTACCTACTCGACTACTAGGTAATTCAAATCGGAAATAATCGGCATATCCATGGACGAGAGGTAGGGCCTTGGGCTGAGGGCTTTTCACGGCGGGCGGGAGGCTTGGGACGAAGATTCCGATTGCTCCATCTACAGAGCCTATATAGATCGCAAATCACAGCGACTGACGGTATTGCAGCTGCCACACTCCAATTCAACCCTAAAGGGATAGGGTTTAGATACAATGGACCAAGCAAGCAGGGGTATACATGCAACTGCCACACTCCAATTCAATCCTACAGGGATAGGGTTTATAAATAGATACAATGGACCAAGCAAGCAGGGGTATACATGCAACTGAACCTCTTTGGCTTACAGCCTAACGTAGGCTTCAGGGGTCCATTTGTATAATTTAGATAGACTATGGCGGAATACAAGTACGAGCAAATAATCCTTACGATCCTTTTCAAAGGGGAGGATTTAGCGAGAGTTGCAGTGGTGAGCAGCTGATCTTGTGGGCCCCATTAGGCTCTCAAAAAGCAAAAGCCGCTAGAACCCTCACATCTTGAAGGCCCCGAGGCACTAAAATCTTAACACCCTGAAACATAATCCCTCTAGGCATGAAGCCATGAACCCCTAACCACGAAGCAGCGGTTTTTGACCTCCCGGCGTACACGTTCTGCTCAGAAGGGGGCGCCGGTTCATCCTTTGGTGCCCGTCCACATGGACACGCCTACATTGTCGTGCATGCCGAGGTGGTCCTGCAGCGTGGCTTTTTCAAGGGCCTTCAGTTGGGAGAGGATGGGGACATTGGCGGCTGTGTGATTTACATGAACGGACGATGCGGGGAAAAACAGTGATGATACAGCCTCCTCCCACAAGCCTAAACTTTCAGCATGCTTCCGAAAAGGCACGGCTACACGGGTACACATCATGGAGTAACACCCTGTCCTTCAGGCGCTTTTCGCAGAACTTGCGCATGATGAAGTCCTCGGGACCATTCTACAGGTAGGGCTTCAAGATGTACGGTCTAAGCACAAGATGTCTTCCGTGTTCAGTTTTGGACGTGTCACAGCGCAAAAAGGCCTCGTTCGAATTGCGGTAGTTTACTGAGGTCCTTATCAAGAAAGGCTACACGTCTAATTTCCCCATGAGTTCTGCTATTACTGTATATGGGGGTTTCCGCGAATAGGGGGTGCCTTACTTTGGGGTCCTTATAATACGGATCCTACTATTTACGATGCTATATTAGGGTCCCCTATTTTCATAAACCCCCATATTGCTTCGATCGTGATCGGGGCTGAGGCCGCGCAGAGGCTGTAAGAGACCCGAACCTTGATCCAATCCGTACGGCCGAGGCCCTGCGTTTTATCGAAAGACCACCAATGAATCTCACTAATGTTTTGAAAAAAGTATCATTGAAAAAAATACCACTGAAGAAATTAATATGAGTATGAAAACCCACAGACATAAACGCAGGACAGACGCAAAAACTTTGCAAAAACCTTTGGACACCTGCTGGGGACCCAGCGCAAGGCTTTGGAGGCACGAAGTGGATTCGCAGCAGTTTCTGGGCAGGTTCAGAATCAAAGCCGGTTGAGGGTTCAGGCTTCAGCGCTGTGAAGGTTCAAGCTGCAGAGTTTGGAAACTGTCTCCCAAACGGTCCAAGTACCAATATAACAGGCTCTTAGTAGATACATGGTCCCCCAAAGTGTGTGTATATTATATATATATATATATATATATATATATACACATACATATAAATATACATATTAACTATACTGTTACTTGGACCCTTTCGGTCTGTTGTCAAGCCGAGGCCGGATGATGCTTTCCAAGTCTTCCACAGGGGTCGTCATACTGCAGGGGCCTTGCTTGCGTTTGTTTACAACGGCTCGGTTAGCCTTGAGAAGTCTCGCAGATCTTGCTCGGACAGCCCATCTCTCACCACCAAACCCAGTTGAGTACCTCGAAGCCCACCCAGATAGACCCAAAAACAAACTCAAATCATCTACGGTAGTTCTAAACCCTGAACCCCAAAACCGAAACCCCTGAAGACAGGTGCCCTCGGCGCTAGGCTCGGGGCAGCAACGCGCTTGTACTGACATCGATGAATGCGGACCATCTGCTTCAATCTCTTCAGGTGAGCCTGGCATGCGTTTCGGGGTTTCACGCAAAGGGCGAGGATCAGTGAGGGTATGAGTATGGGCCTGGGTCTAAGGCTCCACGGCGTAGGCGGTGCATATTTATGTTACTTTATAGGTACTTTTCGAGCTTACACGGGCTGAGGGTGGTGCTCGTCACCACGGAGCTTGCAAAACGAGTCCCTCGACTCTGACCAACCAGAAGCTCAAAACCGACAGCCCAAAAAACCTTAACACCTAAACCAATCCTGATGTGCTGTCATGAGCAAAATTACATGTTTGTGTTGTGATGCCATCATGTCCCTGCCGTGCGCAAGTTGCACGACGTCTTAACTAGAAATACTTTGTTCGATTGCCCCTGACATACCGGACCACCCAAACCAGTAGACCCTGCACACGACAGCCACAGACCCTAAGCCCTAGAGCCCCAAGCCCATACCCCTAAACCCTAAACCATTACCCCTAAACCCCAAAAGACCTGAGCCGGCCCCAATCTGGTAAGAACGGTGGGCACCCGTTGTAGGGACCCCACCAAGCACATAAGCATAAGCATTTTATGGGGATATCCCTACCTTATTGGGCTTCATGATAAGGGGATTTATATGGGATATCCCTATCCTAATGTTTGCTTATGTGCTTTTTTGGGTGCCCTACATTAGATCCTCCAAGACCTGCAATCCTGTACTGCGCCTCGCCGCTTCACCGAAACTGGTAGTTTACGGTTCGCATACAACGAGTGGTAGGCAGCTCAGGGGTTTCGGGCTTGACTTCCGGTTTCGGCGGTTCAGGGTTTAGTGTAGATTTAGGGCTTATAGAGGTAGTATAAAGATCATCATGAAACATTCGCCTTTCCCGCTCCCTGCCTCTGCGAATTTAACCCCTGCGCCCTAGAGCTAGTATTGGAAGAACTTCATGAAACAAACTGGCTCTATTTCCGCAATGCGTTGCGGGGTTTAGGGTTTCGGGCCAGTTTAGGGTTTAGGTGCCAAATTGGGAATGCGAAGGGTTTCCTTCATGAGGTTCCTACATCGCATTGAAAACTACGTCTACCCTGCACCCTAAATCCCAAATCCGTAACTTAAAGGAACCCTAGGTATCTTCCTTAATTAAGGGATATTAGACTCCCCTAAACCCTATAGATCCCTTATAGGTCCCTTAAGGGAACCCCTATAACCCTAATCCCCCAACCCAAACTCCCCAAGGCAGCGTGCCGGCGTCTTCTTCGACTTCAGGTTACGCTGGCCCCACTGACCTAGGGAAGGGCTTTGGGTTCAAACTTGTCCCCCCGAACCCAAAGCCCCTTGAAGAGCCCCTGAAAGCCCTAGAGTTTAGGGTTTTTCATGAGGGTTCAGTGGTTTCTGTAAGGGTTTAGGCGTCTGACAGGCTTCTTAGAAGCGCTCCTATGAGGCTCCGATAAGGATTACAGCGTTCAAGCTCCGGGGTTTGGATTCAAGGGTACGAGGGTTCAGGAGTTCAAGGTTTGGAGTCCAACATTTCGGATTGTAGGCGTCCTAGGTGCATTGTACATCTGTCAGGGCGCTGATTAGTTAGTGTTCCGACCTAACCCTAGCCGAACAAGTATTCTAGTCGGTATCCCCCCCACGAGCAATGCAGAACTGATGGACGGGAATGTATTTCAGGGATTTCGGATTCGAATTTGGGATCAGGCTTTGGGATGCTTTGGGTTGAGGAACTCTACACCACTGAAGCAGTCCACTGAGTTGAGGAGCGAAAAACCTGCACCAAAAAAAGGTCCTAGACCTCCGGCCACATATCTGTTTAACATTCCTGCATGGCAACCGAAACCCGTCGGATCTTCGGTGGAGAGTCAAGCCCATACTTCTGATCTTCTGTGACGAGTCATGCAGACTTGAAGATAGGTAATTCAGGATTGAATTTAGGGTTTTCCGAACTTTCCTCAGGACCTATAAACCCTGCTTCCTCGTCAAACCTGCCCAGCACTGCATTGGATACGTACGGCACCGAAAACACACCCTCAACGGCCGTAAAATCTCAAACCCAGAGCAGCCCTAATGCTCTAAGCCCCAAAGAACCCTGGTTCATATACTGGGATCGAAGGTTTCTTAATCAGATTCAGTTCCGGCACTGTTAACCCCAATCGTACATCCGAGCGGCGTCGCCAGACGGTGATCCGACCCGATGGCTCGCGACGAATGAGGAAGCGCTGCTTCGCGGCGCTGTTGATCCTGATATTGTAGCAAGTATAATAACATATGGTAGTGTATCATGAAGTACATAATGTAATATATACATTACACTATATATTTTTTCCGGTATCCCCGGGGAACTAAAGGCCAACCTTTCAGGTTATACAGGGATTATCCGGGAGCATAATACCCAAAACAGGTTAAAAGTTTATTAAACGTCACCTACTCCACTACTAGATCGTGTTCCGGTTCGGGGATTCATGGTTTGAGGTTTTCATGAGTGTATGTGGGTGTTGAGGGTGTCAAGAATGGGAGGTATCAATAAGGAAAGGTATGATGTCAGGAGCAGGACCAAGCTCAGGATGAAAGACTGTGCTTTCTACCACTGGCGCCCTATCACGAGAAACTGCGCTTTTCTGATGCTTTGGATCGAAATGCAAACATGCGAGCGAGAGAAACATAAGACGACTTTCCGGCCCGGTTGAAGAAGCGAAGTAACAGAACGAGGCCCCGACGGACGAATGAGGGCACAAGCGTAGGTTTCCCGGATCGAGAACGGAAGGACATCATGCACAACATCAGCCGCGAGCGCAAAGCCATCGAATCACAAATCACAACCACCTCCCCTGCCATGGTAACACAACAGATAATGTGCCATACTGCACGCGCCAATGACTGAATGATGATAAGAATGGTCATGATACCCGATACAAGTAATAGTATTCAACCGTACCTGAGCACGGAGAAAGAAGAATCACAGGCTGCACCTCCTTCCACGCGACCACTCTTTGAGCGTGCGGTCCGCGATGCGCACATGAGGCCTGGCGGAGGGCACCTAAACCATGAAACCTGGTGAACCCTAAATGATGTCTAAATGCCTAACAGATCCTAACCCGCGGTTTGGGATTCAAGGCTAGGGCTTAAGGCGTGAAGGTCTCCAGCTTGGGATTGTCGGGTGTTCCATACCTTCCATACGGGATCTCGCATGTTTCTGGCAATCCTTTCTACAGATCTTGCAGCTATTGCCACAGCATGAGGCCTGGAACAAAGAACGCCTCTAACTCCGACAACACCGCAGAAAAGTGCTGTCGAAAGCTTCACAAACACCCTTCGACGCTCAGCCTTGCTCCAAGCCAATTTCCCTCAATACTCTCAGCCTTGTAAGTACAGGCCTGGCAAAGACTTGTAGTACTCTAATCGTTGGCCACTGCTCAAATTCTAGATAGGGTCCTCCAGACAGACACCTTCAACCAGCTAACTTAGCAACTAGCAAGCGAGCACTTTAACAGAAATACATGGGGCCGTATACCCGCAGCAAACAATGGGAACCCCTTAAAGGCACCATGCCTATAGCCGATCTGCCTCTAAGCAATGACACCTATAGTCTCCATTGTAGTTCCTTTTGTTGGTGAACCAAAATCTCTATTAAATAGGGTCCTAACCATAAAACTGGTTAGCCCAAAAAAAGGAACTACAATGGAGACTATAGGCAATGACAACCTTTACGAGACCGTCGCGCGAAGGACTGTACCGGTCAGGAGCCTGCGAGGCACCTGACCCATGCCAACGATGGACTCGATGTCAACTGGACAGTTTAGGGTTTATAGGGTTTGGGGTTTAGGGTTTAAGGTTTGGGGGGGAGCTTCAGAGATTAGGGATATATGGTGCTCGTGGTTCAGGGCTTTGCGAATTCACGCAGGAATTCTTCCTAGCTTATCAGTTCCCTGACCAAAGTAGGCAAGCCTTTTCATCGTGGTCGGCTTGCAGAAGTTCAAGCAGGCTGGAGTCGGCTAGAGGCCAGAGGCTACTTGCTCAGCTACAACGTCTCGCAGAGACATGGACTTCAGACTGTACGGAGTTGACGGATGATTTCCATTTGTAGGTCCTGAAAAGGTCGGTTCTTCAGTGTCCAGGTCTCGGCTCAAGGCTTACTTCAACCAGGACCCTCCTTGTACCCTCAAATAGGGGTATATGGTCCCAAATAAGGGGCATTTAGGGTCTAATAGAGGGTAGTTGGAGGGTCTCGGAACACATGGCTTCATGAGTAGGACTTGGAGTTTACGGCTTGAGGTTTGGGGGGAGGCCTGGATTCAGCAACTGCTTCAGGGCTTAGACTGCGGGGTTCGGGTGTGAACGGAGAGGTCGACGGCTTAGGCTTAGGCTTGGGATCTAGAGAGTTCAGGGTTCGGTTCTTCGGGGCTTAGGCAGTTTGGGGCCTTCGGACGACCAAACTTCGGGCATAATACAGGGGCCTTAGTAATTTACCACAACTACGATTATGGTGGTTCCTGAGAATATAGTATAGTGGACCCTAAAAGCCCTATCCTAATTATTAAGGCCTTTATGTTATGGTACCCTTATAGATCCCTTATGGTGACCCTTACAGACTTCTTTATATAAACCAACCCTACAAAGCACGGGAGTGCCTGCGTCTCCCGGCTGTGCCACAAGCAGGTTGCTTGCAGCCACGTGGGCGCGGCTGTGCCCAGCAAAGGTGGCTGGCCCGGGCCTATACAAGAGCAGGCATAAGTGAGAGCTCAGGGTTTAGGGTATTTAGGGTTTAGGGTTTAGGGGTTAGGGGTTTAGGGGTTTAGGGTTTAGGGGTTTAGGGTTTAGGGGTTTAGGGTTTCAGGGGGCTCAGGGATTCCGGGGGTTGTCCCGATTTCGGCTTAGGGTCTGGTCTTGGGCCTCATCACAGCACTTGCTTGCAACCACTTTCACACAACAGGAATGCACCACACCACAAGATGGAAGCCATGCTGTGACATGCAGATCTCCGTCTTTAAGGCTTTAGGCTTCCAACTACGGCGGTTGGGGTTGCGAGTTTTGAATTTAGGGTAGAAGGGCCTTGGGGCTGAACGTAGAAGGGCCTTGGGGCTGAATGGTCGAAAAAAGGTGGCTACCCATAGGCTCCATAGTAGTTCCTCTTGGGGGTTCATATATAGAATGTTATAAGGTAATCCCAAAAAGGAACTACTATGGAGCCTCTGGGTAAAGTGGAAGAAAGCCCTGCGACTCTGAGCGTCCTACAACTGCGAAACCCGCCGCGACCGTCTTGGTGCTTTGCAACGGTCGAGTACGGGTACTTTACGGCTGATGTAGGGAGTCTATAGTTATATGGGCTGGGCTTCACGAGGCTTAAAATCCCAAAAGCCTAAAGCCTAAGCCTACAGTCTTGCAGCGTAAAAGCCTACAAAGCCCTAGAGCCTGCAAAACCCTGAAACCCCAATCGCAGCTTCTTAAAATTAGAACCAGTGCAATAGAAGGCCTGCAGTACCTCTACAATGCGTGGACCGGCGGCCTGTAAGCCCCTACAGCAGGAAACCCAGAAACCCTTAACCCCTTGCAAAACAGCAAAGCCCATGAATCTCAGTACAAGGGTTGATGATATAAATCCTGCATGACCCATAGTAAGGAATATACCGTAATTCCCATATAGTCCTTATTATGGGTCATGCAGGATTTATGTCATCAACCCTATACCCTAAACCCCCTATAGATCCCTTAAAGGAGCCCCTTAAAGGTACCCTTATAGATCCCTTTATTAAAGGAACCCTAGGATTTATATCATCAACTGAAGGAGCCTTCGCGAAGCAAAGGCCGCTGCTCCCAGAAGTGCGAGGAGTAGACCACTACCTGCTTTTCTCACTATTAATCTTCTTCTTCTAAACTCTAAACCCTGAACCCTAAACTCTAATAGGCTTTAAACTATGATATGTACCCCAAACCCTAAGCTGTAGGCTTTTGCGCCCCGAGCGCTGAACCGTAACCTTCACAAACATTGTAGCGGTGTTTCATGTCTGAGGGCTTGGGTTAATTGCTGCCTTGGAGCTCTTTCGAGACTATGATGTTAGGAAATAGGCGACAGCGGAGGCTTTGCAGGAGGAGGAGGAGGAGGAGGAGGAGGAGGGACCAAGTAAGTAGAAGAACAGAAATCACGGCAACGACTACGACTCACGCGACGGCTGTTGTGCAACTGTAGACAAGTACTCGCCTCTGCCGGAGCAGCAGGGGAGGAGGAGAAGCAGTAACTGCAGTAGTAAGTAGTGTGGGTGCTGCTTTTCTACGACGACTGCGACTAGTCGCAAGTGCAGGGGCATCGCACCTGGCAAAAACTACGTCAACCACAATCCTTCAGAGTCAAAGGAAAGAAACATGGTAGCGACACGATGAGTTCGAGTATGTATATGACGTTGATCTGGTGAGCAGCTTTAAATGAAGAAACACACCAAAACACGACATGTACAGCTGCAGAAAGCTGGAAAATGATACAAACTGAACAGAAGGCATCGTTTTTCCTACGAACCCTCAGTCATAAGCCTGGGCAGCCTCGCTCCAGTCACACAGAACCCGAAGAACAGGAAAACCCTCTCCTTGAAGCTCACCCGGCACGAAGCAACAAAATGATCCTAGTCTTTGCCTCCATAAGCCCTACAACGAAAAACTTACACCGAACAACGAACCATCACGGGCCTGCAGGGCCTTTGCTCGAGTCTGAGGGACTCGTCTGCGAGCGGGAGCGAACTGGCGCCCTGGTCTTGCCAGCATTTTTGCCAGGGGCTTGACTGGGGTTCTTGCTAAGGGATTTAGGCTAATGTACCATAGTAACTATAGTAAGGAAACCGAATTATTTACGATAGATCCCTATAACGGCATCGCAAACAAAATCCCTTCACAAGAACCCATTTGAAGCTTCAAGGTTTCTATAGGGTCCTGCCTGCCTGCAGTAGCCCCGGCGACGACAAATCACCCCAGTCTGAGAACTTACTCACTCAAAACCCGGAAGCTGCAAACCTCGGAAGCCCAGAAACTGAATGTCGGCTAAAGCAAGGAAGGACAACAAACAAAACCAATTTGAACACGGGTAGTAGTCACGGTAGCTGTAGCGCTCACAGGTAAAAGGTTAGAACTAGCAGAACTTCAGAAAGGCGAAAGACAGCACCCTAAACCCCAACCCCCAAACCCCTGAACCCCTGAACCCTAAACCCCAACCCCCAAACCCCTGAACCCCGAACCCTAAACCCCCAAGCGCCTTAAGCCGAACCGTCTGAGCCCGGTGCAGGTCTGCTCTGCTAAGCGTTGGGCTGGGAGCCTGAAGAGAAGGGCATGAAAGCTTTTGACAGGGAATAAGCGTGAGTGGGTTGTCTACGCATATTACAAGGTTTGGGGCGTATGGTTTAACGACTTTTTGCGGAGGAGGAGGTTTATGTTGGGGTTTGGCGGCTGTTGTTTTTTGGGGAGGGCGGTGAAAGGGGCTGTTGAGTCTGAGAGACCACGAGTTAAAGGCAACCATGCCGTGTCCGGTGCAAACCATTCGAATCGGATTTCCAGTCTTTGCTGGGACAACACCAAAGTCAAGAACCAAAACCCCTCCCGGGGCCGCGGCGATCTGCAGGAAGGCCGAAACGCCGGCCTGATCACAGCATCTGCAAGTTCTTAAGACTGAGGCCCTCAAGAAAGGTCTCAAGATTGAAAGCTTGTTTTAATGTGTTTACGGCTGTAGGGCCTTCGGACTTTTTGGCTGTAGACTGCAGAGCCTCAGGCCTTTAGTAGCTGGGGGTTTGTGGCCATAGGGCTGCGAGGATCTTAGGGCCTCTTAAAATTGAGGCTTGGGGCTTGAGTTTGGGTCAGAGAATCCGAACCCGTCTATCTCCGGTAGTGGCTTACTCTCGTCTTACAGGAGGACATGTTCGCTGAATGCTTGTGAACCTAGCTTGAAGCTGGGAGGGGATGATGCCTGAGTGGCCTATCCTAGTTCAGAGCGTGCTTGCTTAATGCCCACTTCGCCGTGTATGCCTACTTGGGATGAGGTGCTCTAATTGATTAGGCTTTGCTTTAGTTTCCAAAACCCACCCAGAACAGAAAACTATTCAAGAATGCCGGGGTGCTGCTATGATCAAAACACTATAACTCGACCGTCTGGATACTATGTCTTTCAATTTTCAAGCCGGCCCCAAACCGTAAGCCGTAAAGTGAATAATGTAAGCCCTTGAACTTATAACCTCTCCCAAAAACCCTAAACCCTAACCTCTCCCAAAAAAACCGAAACCCTAAACTCTCCCCCAAAACGACAGTCGCGGAAGCGAGCCTGCAGCCCCCATAGAAGGCACAACAGCAGACCTGGCCAGAACACAACAAGGCCGTCTCGAGGGACTGTTAGGGTTTACGGGTTTAGGGTTTAGAAACCCCTAAACCCGAAACCCTAAACCCCTAAACCCTGACCCCCCAAACCCCAAACCCCTAGACCCTAAAACCCTATAACTATAAACCTTGTCAGAGTTGAGGTTGTGAGCCCAGTTTCAAGTCGCGGTTTGCAGGGGCTGATCGGATGTGCGGTGAGTCTGGCTTTCGGGTTTAAGGTTTAGGGTTTAGGGTTCAGGGTTTAGGGTTTAGCGGGGTGTAGGGCAGTTGTTGGGCTTCAGGGCCGTGTGTTTGTGGGTCTTTCTGGGCTTCGGCGATGCAGGCAGCAGAGGTTTTGGATTTCAGGGTTCCATGCTGAGGCTGTTTATGCTTTTACAGTTGTAGAAGGTTAAGTTTTCGGTAAAAAACTGAGAGCTCGAGGACGTAGACAGCTGACTTCATGTCTGAAACCTGCTGGAAGATTTCGGGGTCTACAGCTCAAAAACAGTGTTCTATAGGCTAAACATAAGTATACTACAGTAACTGCCACAGCCCTACTCACTATTGTTCTCTGATTATTAAGTTTATGCTCCCAAACCCGCAGTCACAAGCCTCCATCTACTTCTGGATGGTGTGGAATCCTAGTTCAGCTTCGCTGAGCTCTCCGAAATCCGCCTAAACCGTCAACCCCAAAACCCTTCAACCATCAGGCCCGTAATATAGGGGATAGAAATATACTCCCCCCCCAAAAAAAAAACGCAAGGGTCATTATTTAGGCCCCTTTAGTACTGTAACCCCAAAGTTTGCCTGCTGGTAAGAAGATCCTTTGCAGCCGCAGCCTCACAAAGCAGCACAGACACAGGCGAGCGGAGTTTAAGGGTTGAGGGTTTAGCCAAGACATCTCCCATTCCAAGGGCAGTAGACTCTAGGGCCGGCAATCTGAGGCTTCGGTGTGGGTCTTAGACTGTCGAGTTTGCCATGCTCTTCGGTTTGCTTCTCTGTTGAGGTCTCTGGCCTCAAAACTACACTAACACTGCGGTTGGTGATGATATAAATCCTGCAATACCAATAATAACGAATATACCATTATTCCCATAGTCTAAGGTCATTAAAAGGAATGCAGGATTTATATCATCCACCGTATCCATTCATAAAGGGTCTTTGCAGTCTTGAGCCTCAGGGTCCTGGCTATAGGGTTCAGGGCTGCAGTCAGATAAACAAGTTGGATCCTCCCTAAAGCACAAAAACTAGACCCAAGAGTAACCTAGGAGGAAAAAGGATGCCCTTTTTGGTTTAAAGGGGCTTATAAGGGAACCTGAACCCTAAAAAAGGGAATAAGGGCCTACTCTAGGTCATAGAAAGACAAGGCAAGCCCGAAGAAGAAGAAGAAGAAGTCTCAAGCCTCCCATGAGCAAGTCGCAAGCCGAACCTATCCCAAATCACTAAACCCAGGAATAACTCCGTGCTTCTGTCGGACCTGGCACAATGTCAACCGAAACCAACATGGTCATGATCGGAAACATGGACATGGCACCGTTATGATGATGATGATGATGATGATGATGATGGTGATCACCATCATTGTCAACATCATCATGATGGTGGTGAGGATGACGACCACGATGATAACGATGACGATGATGACGATCATGACAATGCTGTTGCTGACGATGATGATGCTGATGCTGACGACAATGATGGAGATGAAGATGAAGATGATGATGATGATGATGATGCTGGCGATGACCACCATGATCATTATGACGATGCTGCTGCTACCAGGCTGGGAATGCGACATTGGTGCCCGGGTGTCCGCAGCCAGGCGAGAACTCGTCATCTACCCGAGCCAGAGACGGCGGTCACGGGGCTTCAAAAATAGTCGTCCCTTATAGAATCCCGTTCTTGCACTTGTCACCTTTCCTCCGCAGTGTCCCTATCGTTGCCTTTCGTGTCCTTATGGTAACCTCGCAAGCATCTATATACGAAGAAGAAATCCTACTTCAGCACGGCCCTTCTAGAAGGCTTTACAGCTTACGGGCCACTTTTACGGAATGTCGACCCGGGCAGGTGCCACACCTAGACTTCCTCGTCAAGTTAGCCTCTGAAGTGATTTTCTGCTATCATGAATGTCGTTCTTTGACTGTTGCACTTGCAATTACAATGCGATACTACGATCATTATTCAATGTTGCTACTATACAGAATTTTGCTGTTGGGTATGGGAGCAGGGCCCTGTAACAGGGCTGTATTCCGAGGATTCGATTTGGCGGCTATAACGTTGAGGCGTGAGCCTGTACCAAAGGCTTATAGTCTACACAGTTAAGGGGTCGAGCATGCTTGTAATAAGAGTCTGCCGCTCTGCAGCAAAAACAATGAGCTCGCATGGTGCAGGTGCTGTCTCCGCTTTTTTGCTTCTGGCTTGGCAGAAACCCTCCTCTGCTTTTGGACAGTGCTAAACCCTGACCCCTCATTATAAACCCAAAACCTTCTTATAAACCCTAAACTGAACCCTGCTGTAAACCCTAAGCCCTCACCCGGACGTTCTCGCGCTCAGGAATCGGGCTTCTCACGGGGCGGAGCTGTACCGAAGTTCGGCCCAGGTGGTTCACCAACAGCCTTGGGGTTTCCTGGATTCTTTTAAGGGTTTATAGTTGTTTTTGAACCCTCTTGTCTTTTGGTGACTGCAAGGTTTATAGGGTTAAGGCTTACTGTTGAAGGTGTTCACCCTGGGTGGCCATACCCTGCAGCGAAGCTCACGCAGAATGTTTTCTATGGCTGGGCGCAGAGGCGACTCACGATCTCAACGAAGCAACAAGAGAACCGACAAACCAACAAACGACCAGTACAGCTTTACAAGTTGTTGGTTACAGTACACATGGCTCAAGAGGTTTACCTTTCGTAGCCTTCCCCTACGAGCCGAAGCATAACAGCGCACAAACACTTGCAGACTACAGGTACCTAGCAGCTATACAAGGGCCCTGAAAGCTAGCCACAACTGCAAACTACAAGTGCTGATCACTGACATGCTGGAGCGTTTTCAACACTCCTCCTTGGCTCGCTCGTCAGGGCGACGCCACAAGCTGCGTATTTACAGCATGTCATCTTCGCCTGACCTCGAACCTTCTGGCACCTCAGCGTGTTTAGAGACCTGTGCGGTGGCGGTCTCTGCAGACGCGGCACAAGTTGCGGGTGGTTAAGGGTGTATTACGCCTTAAACACCCAACAAGTCTGATCTAGAGGCTAGCTGGGTGATCAGTCCAGTTTGCCGTTTTGCATAAGTAATAAACAAAACTTTCTCGAGGATATCCAAGACTGTACATAGAAGTGCACGTAGGGTACAAATTAGGGTTTCGAGTGGCCTGGCTGGTTTACCCCCAGCAAAACAAGCGAGTGCTACAGGCCTTCTGCACACAGGTTCGGGACTACGAGTACCTATTAATTCGGGTCACCTAAACCAGTTAAGGTCTGACAGGGGACCGGCTTTCGCTGCTGCAAGGAGTTGGCTCATCACGACAGCTCCTCCTGGGCTTGTACCTCTGAATTAACACAGGGCCAAGTGCACATATGCTCTCTTTGGCTTGAGCGGCACTTCCTGCTTTTCAAAACAGCGTGGCTGAAGCAAAAGGCTTCAACACACGGCCTACCCTTAGGGTGGCTGCACTCCCTCTAAACTGCACCATCATTTGAGCACGGACCTCATGCATCAAACAACTGATTGGTTGGCAGCGCGGCAACTGCCTGACAAATGCCTTGAAGAACCTGGGGCGAAACAGTTGTTGAGTCTTGCGTTGGGGCACTTGGCAGTGCGAGTTGAAGCTGCGATGATGGCTGCTCCTCCTGGGTTGAAAGCTGGAGGGAATGATGAGAAGCTTGAGGACCTGAAGCGTGCGAAGCGTGCTGTGTTGCCTGCACGACCTGAAGCGCAGCCTGAAACACAGTCGCCAACGCTTGCAGTAAGTCTTGACGGCCTGGGATTGCTCCCGGCTGTAATCTCCTGCCAGTGCCAGCTGCAAACTGCAGCTTGTCCTGCTCCTCCTCATTCGAGCTACTCTGGTGTCCAGAGCTAGAGGACCGAGTACCGGCACCTAACAACCCTAACAACAAACCAGTTAAACCCTGAGGCTCAGCGGCAGGAGGAGGAGGAGTTGAGGAAGGGACAGGGGTCAGTGCATCCCCGGACGTTGTAGCAGTGCGCGAACCAAGCCCACTATCACCAAACCTACTAAAACTAACCTCCTTAGCACCCACCTGCTGCAACGCCGGCGCCTCATATCCACCAGCCTGCTGAGACTGAATCCTCCAGACTTCAGCCTCAGCACGACCGGTTTTCTCCTGTTCCTTTCGCAAGCGCTGCTTCAACCCTTCAAGCTGTGGCGCCACTTCTGCCTGAATCGCATCATGCGGAATAGATGAGGACTCGGTGTGGGGATGCCTGTCTGGAGACCCGTAGAGCAAGGGAGCCCTTTGCTCCATGGCAGCAAGCTGCTGCGCGTTGGCACCAGTGAACAACGGCATCGGCACTTGACACTCATCTTGCAGGACGCGGCCTCCTCTCTCGAGGGGCTGTAGTGGTCGCGACGGCCTTGGAGGAGAAGTCAGTGGACTGGGAGCCCACCCTTGCGGCAGTGGCTGTACGTTCGCCGCGCCACCAAACAGAGACTGCACTCTTCCTAGCAACTGACTAGCAAAAGCCTGAGCCCCAGTCTGCATGACCGCTGACGCCCCGTACGCCGTTGATCTGGGCGTTTCAAAGCCCTCAGCACTACTTCCAGGATTCGCTGCAGATGGGTTGTACCCTGAGACGCCTGCGGCAACATTGATCTGAGCGCTAGCCATTCCACTTTCGGTGGCCACACTGAAACCCTGAGTCACTGCAGTTGCATCTCCATGCACCCCACTCGCATCAGCGACCTCCGCGGTAGATACTGCTTCATACGTAACGCCAGCTGTGCCCAAGCCTCCAACCTGGCCTAGTGTTCCATCGCCTCCTGTCCTACCGACTGCTGAAACTCTCGGTTGGCCGGCTGTTCCAACAGTTTCTTGTGGCAGCTGAGGGGATGGCACTGGACCAGCTGTGGAAGTCGATGGCCCCGACGACGCATCCATCATAGTTTGCTGGATTCCATCCCCAATAGGCTGCGCAAGCCCAGAGGGCGATGGCACTCCAACTCCGGCGGTTGTACCATTCACTGTAGTCTGCGGTGCATCCCCGCCTCCCCGCACTCCAGGCAGAGAGGCCGGAGAAGCCACCGCTCCGGTTGCTTCTGGCCCAGGCGTTGGGCTCATCACCTGTTGAAGGTGTTCACCCTGGGTGGCCATACCCTGCAGCGAAGCTCACGCAGAATGTTTTCTATGGCTGGGCGCAGAGGCGACTCACGATCTCAACGAAGCAACAAGAGAACCGACAAACCAACAAACGACCAGTACAGCTTTACAAGTTGTTGGTTACAGTACACATGGCTCAAGAGGTTTACCTTTCGTAGCCTTCCCCTACGAGCCGAAGCATAACAGCGCACAAACACTTGCAGACTACAGGTACCTAGCAGCTATACAAGGGCCCTGAAAGCTAGCCACAACTGCAAACTACAAGTGCTGATCACTGACATGCTGGAGCGTTTTCAACACTTACGGTTAAGGGCTTAGCCTTTAGAGCCTTGCGGTTTTATGGGCTCCTTTAAAGGCTCAGGGTATCGATGTTTCAGTGTTGGAGGTTATTGAAGGGATTAGAAGTAGGGTTGTAGTTTTGTGCCTTTTACTACAACTTCTAGCTTATAGTGTAGCAGCTCTTGAATTCTGAGTAAGGTATAGGCATGCTAGCTGAGTCTCCCGATGCTTCAAAGTAGGGCTCAGGGCCAACATGGTTTAGGGTTCAGGGCTCCGCGTTTGGGTGTAAGGGCTGAGGGTTCAGGCTTCGTGGTTTAGTGTTCATCGACTAATATAGCGGCCTTAATAATTAGAAGAGCGTTTTGGGAAATATATACTATGGTTATAATAAGGAATCCCAAATAGCAATTGGTAATTATTTAGGCCCCTATATTACCCGGATCGGGGTTTAGTGCCCATGGCTGTTTATCGCCATAGAGCAGGCTTACCGGGAGCTTCTGCGCGGGTCACGGGGGCGGAGACACAGGGCCCACACCGAGCCCGTAAGGGGATTGTGCACTCAAAAAATGCGCATTATGGTTGGCAAGCCGGAAACCCACAAGGCCCTAAACGCAAGTCACACCCCGTTAAGGAGCATCATGGCGTGCATTTTTCTCTGGAACAGCTAAGCCAAGCTGCTTCAGGAGCATCTTCTCTCCCTCCCGCGCCGGCTGGATCTCACACTCGGAGAGGCATGCCTAATGTAGGGGCCTTAATAATTAGAATTGAGTTGCGGGGTATATTATACTATAATTATCATAAGGGGCCCCAAAAACCCCATTCTAACTATTGAGGCAATTCCAGTATGCTAGCAGGATTTGCGGTGTAGGTCACGGGTTGGCTGGGGTTGCTTTGCATGTGATCACGTGGAGCTTCTGGCTTCGCCCTGAAGGTATGATGGCGTCTGCATTATTATAACCCTTAGAACCATGATAAACATAGTATTTTTCAATATTCTGTTAGGTTTTCTATGAACAAAGATGTGACTATAGATTGAAGCCCTAAGCTTCTCTCTGAACTTGCCCAAGCCCTGCAATCCTGCTCGCCGGGGCACACCCCAACTCTGCATGTCAGCCGTCACCCCACTGGCGAGACACTCAAACAGCAAGCACAGCATGGCTTCCCAGCGGGAAGTGCCAGAGAAAGCCAGGATCGCCTCAGGAGGAAGCTTCGGGTGCCCCATATGAAACTCCAA